ACAATGAATAAAAAATAAAATAAAAAATAATAAAATTAAATGCAAAATAAAAACAATTTTAAAAATACAATAAAATTTAACTGAAATTAAATATAATAAATCTAAATTTAAATAAAATAAATACATAAAAAATTAAATATATAAATCTAAATGAAAATAAAATACAATAAATTCATAAAAAATAAATTAATATACATCTGAATGAAAATAAAATAAATACATACAAAAATAAATTTATATAAATCTAAATTAAATTTAAATAAAATAAATACATAAAAAATAAATGAAAATAAAATAAAATAGAGGAGCACACAACTCACGTGGTGTTAAAAGCCGCAGAATTAAAGTGAGTTTTAGACTTGGACTTGGCCTGTTGGTGTTTTCTGCTCTTCTCTGTGAACAGATAAATTCAGTTCCAGACTGTGGAACATTCCGGGCAAAAACAATAAAGAAATCTGAACCAGAAAAGTTCCGCAGTGCAGCTTTAAATATAATACCACTGATTTAAAGCCCATGTTGAACTGTTGAACTGCTGTGTCCTGTGCTCTCCCGGTGACTCAGGGCGACGTGGTAAGAAACACACGCACCTGGAGCATGAGTCTGCACCTGTCTGCGCACCTGCCTCTGCACCTGCACCTGTCACTGCACCTGCCTCTCCTGTCCCCCACTCTGCTTTAACTCTCAGCTCCTTTTCCACCAAACGGCTCCTGGTTCTGGACTCGAGCTTCTTTCAGAGCCAAAAAAAATCCTCTGGACCCAGTGAAAACAAAAAAATAAAAGTAAATTTTCTCGTTTATTTTGTGACTGAGCTCAGAGCAGCGTCTTGGTGGAAAAGAGTCTGAGGTTTTGTCCTGGTTCTTCTGTTTAAACCTGCTTCTGTGTCACTTTAAAGTCTCGTTTCTGCGGACGAGACGAGACACGATTTCCACAAAACGAGACGAGAGACGAGATCAGGTTTTATGGAATCAGTTTTGAGATAAATAGTTCCAAGACGCTTTTAAAACATTAGGCAAAAAAGTATAAATCAGAATACCAAAAAAAAAAAAAAAAAAAAGTTAAATTAAATACATTTGCGATCAGATTATTTGTCTTTGACTCTTTGGAAGCATTTTATTTTTGTTCCGTGTTTCCGTGAAGAAGAATCAGAACCAAAAAGTCCAATGAGAAGAAGAATCGGAACCAAAAAGTCCGAGAAGAAGAATCGGAACCAAAAAGTCCAACGAGTAGAAGAATCGGAACCAAAAAGTCCAACGAGAAGAAGAATCAAACCCAAAAGTCCAACGAGAAGAAGAATCGGAACCAAAAAGTCCAACGAGAAGAAGAATCGGAACCAAAAAGTCCAACGAGAAGAAGAATCGGAACCAAAAAGTCCAACGAGAAGAAGAATCGGAACCAAAAAGTCCAACGAGAAGAAGAATCGGAACCAAAAAGTCCAACGAGAAGAAGAATCGGAACCAAAAAGTCCAACGAGAAAGAATCGGAACCAAAAGTCCAACGAGAAGAAGAATCGGAACCAAAAAAGTCCAACGAGAAGAAGAATCGGAACCCAAAAGTCCAACGAGAAGAAGAATCGAACCAAAAAAGTCCAACGAGAAGAAGAATCGGAACCAAAAAGTCCAACGAGAAGAAGAATCGGAACCAAAAAGTCCAACGAGAAGAAGAATCGGAACCAAAAAGTCCAACGAGAAGAAGAATCAAACCCAAAAGTCCAACGAGAAGAAGAATCGGAACCAAAAAGTCCAACGAGAAGAAGAATCGGAACCAAAAAGTCCAACGAGAAGAAGAATCGGAACCAAAAAGTCCAACGAGAAGAAGAATCGGAACCAAAAAGTCCAACGAGAAGAAGAATCGGAACCAAAAAGTCCAACGAGAAGAAGAATCGGAACCAACGAAAACGGCATCAAACAAAACTAGGAACAAAAATAAAAGAGGCAAAGACTAAGATTTTACATAATTACACAAATAATCTGTTTGCAATCTTATTTATTTATATTTTTTGTTAGATTTTTTTCTAATTTTGCATTTTTTGCTCGATGTTTTAAAAGCGTCTTTGAAATTTATGACTCAAAATTGATTCCATAAAATTTAAACATAATTCCTAATATAGAAATTTCACGATTCAGTTTCCAATTTTGGCCTCACTTTATTTATTTTTTTTATTTCATATTTTTGTTTCCGTTCTAGTTCTGCTCGCCGGGTTTTTTTTTTACCCTTTTTTATCCAATTTAAATATAAACACAAGATGATTTTCTCTCGTGGCTCGAGATCTTTGTCGTCCTTAAACGTTTCACCGACTTTTCAACACTTTTTTTTACACTTTTTTTCTGTCAAAAACAACAAATTTATGGATTATTTGGATTTTATTTTTTTATTTATTTTTTTATTTTTTAACTTTTCATGGAGTTAAAGCCCGTGTTTTGTCAGTTTCAGAGTTGAGCTGCAGTTTCCTGAAGCCTCACGTTTCCCTGCTTCCTCTGCCAGTCTCCTACCTCCTTATCTCCTACCTCCTTATCTCCTACCTCCTTATCTCCTACCTCATCTCCTCCTTTAAATTTCCTTGTTCCCTTGCTCTTTAACTCACCGTTTTATATTATAGCTCCTTGTTCTGCTTCCTCTCTTTGTCTCCTAGATCCTATCTCCTGCTTCCTTATCTCCTGTGTCCTACATATTTCCTTTTCTCATATTCCTTTCCTTGTCTCTTGGCTCCTATCTCCTATGCCTAACCTTGTCTCCTACCTCCTTTGTTCGTGTCCTAGCTTCTTTACGTGTCTCCTTGTTTCCTTGCTCTTTTGCTCGCTGTTGTTTATCATGTCTCCTTAACCTTTCCTCGTCTCCTAGCTCCTATCTGATGTTTCCTTATCTCCTACCTCCTTTGTTTATGTCCTAGCTCCTTTACATGTCTCCTCCTTTCCTTGCTCTTTTCTTCACTGTTTTATATAATAGTTCCTTTTCACATCTCCTGCTACCTTTCCCTGTCTCCTAGCTCCTTTTCTTGTGTCCTAGTGCTTTCCCCTGTCTCCTAGCTCTTTTTCCTGTCTCCTAGCTCCTTTCCCTGCCTCCTAGCTCCTGTCCTGTCTCCTAGCTCCTTTCTCCTGCCTCGTAGCTGCTTTCCCCTGTCTCCTAGCTGCTCCTAGCTGCTTTTCTTGTCTCCTAGCTCCTTTTCCCTGTCTCCTAGCTGCTTTTCTTGTCTCCTAGCTGCTTTCCCCTGTCTCCTAGCTGCTTTCCCCTGTCTCCTAGCTGCTTTCTCCTGTCTCCTAGCTCCTTTCCCCTGTCTCCTAGCTCCTTTCCCCTGCCTCCTAGCTCCTTATCTCGTGTGTCCTTGTGCCTGTTAAACCTCGGCTCGTGTTTTGTTTTGTTTTTCTCTTAAATCGTGGGGAAGGGAACATCACATTTAAAGTGCACATGACGGGTTTAATGTTTCCTCTGTTCAAAACGGTTTAAGACTCGACAACACGACAGCGGCTAAAAATATCACCAGAAACAGAAGAGCACTTTAAAGTCTTTAAAGGAGCCGAGGTGTGAATGAAAACCACACAACAGTAATAAATGTTATTATTATATGTATTATTTTATTATATTATTATGTTTATGAAGGTGAGAAGCAAATTAAACCCACAAAAGTTCAAGTTGTTTTTGTTGGAGGGAAATAAGTGAGACTTAAATAACAATAAATATAATCTAAAACTAAACGACAAATAAAAAGTGAAGACGCGACGTCACTTTTGTGTTTTTTTTTTCAAACTGTCCTCGTATAAACGGAGCCTAAAGCCCGACTGGTGAACGTGAACGCAGACGTTTAAACTGCGTCGCTTTACAGAGTTCAGGTCGTTAGTTTGAGACCAGGTCACAGAATCCAGGTGTCGTTCCTTTATTCGTTTTTCAAAATAAAACCAAAAATAATAAAATGAAAAAAACGATTTTCTTCTTTATTTGTCTCCAAAAACAAAATGAAAAAAAAACAGATAACGATTCATTTTTTTCAGTTTTCAATTTAGTGTTTAAATGAAAAATGAAAAAAAAACAAAAAACGGATAACGGACTGAACCAGGACTGAACCAGGTCCGGGACTGAGACCGGGGACTGAGACCGGGGACTGAACGGGGACTGACCGGACCGGACTGAGACCGGGGACTGAGACCGGGGACTGAGACCGGGACTGAGACCGGGGACTGAGACCGGGGACTGAGACCGGGGACTGAGAACAGTTTAGTCCTGATTTAGTCCTGGTTCAGTCCGGGTTTAATCTGTTATCCTTTTTTTTCCTTTTTTTTCCATTTTTCATTTAAACACAAAATCGAAAATTGAAAAAACAAATCATTATCTGTTTTTTCATTTTGGTTTTGGAGACAAATAAAGATGAAAATTGTTTTTTTTGTTTTTTTTTAGTTTTCTTATTTTTAGTTTTATTTTGAAATAAAAAAATGAATGAACAAATAAAGGCAGATGCCTCAGCCGTCGCCGCGCAGACCAACAGAAGAAAACTGCATCAACTTAAAGGAACTGGAAAATTCGGGGCAGTGGAACTGGAAGTGGACCCGCCAAAATAAAAGTCTGTGTTTTAAATGTGGGTTACGTTACGAACAATTCTCCATAAAAACACAAAAACATGACACAAAACTGAACACGGCGGCTGGACAGACCTGAGGTGAGCTGCAGGAGTGTGTTGGATAGAGCTCTGAAGGGGGAGGGACTTAGCACAGAGAGCAAAGAGAGGAGGGACATTTGAACACGTTGTTTTAGGCGAACATTACAACCCCCTCGTTTTCTAACCTGCCGTTTGCATTTTAATTTGATGGATCCTTTTGTTCGTTGGTAAAGTTTCGTACGACGTTTTTTCAGATTTTAAACGTTTATTTCTCGTTTCTTCTCAGGACTTGACGGCGTTGGCGAAGGAGCTGCGCGCCGTGGACGACCGGCCTCCTCACAAAGTCACGGACTACTCCTCCTCCAGCGAAGAGTCCGGAACCACCGACGAAGAGGAGGAAGAGGAGGTGGAGCAGGAGGCCGGAGACGAGTCCACGTCCGGGAACGAGGACTCGCGCATCGGGTGAGTCAAAATATCAGACTTTACTCTTACGATTTAATGACTGTTCATAATTATTGAGCTTAAATAAACGTCTCTAATGATTAATAAATCATGAAAATGCAAAAGAAACGCAGATTTTCCATGTGGTTCTCTCGAGGGATGGAACCAACGTGGATTTTTTTAGACCAATGACGATATTTGACTTTTAGAATCCACATTTTTATCTTAACTGAAGTAAAAATCACAAATTAACTTTTCACTTTTGTAAAAATAATGACACATGTTGGATCTGAGATGTTAAAGGTTCAACGTCAAACATCTTCTAAAGTTCTGATGTTCTGATGTTCCTGGTCACACACAGAACTGGAGTTGAGTTTTGTTTCATTCACTTGTTTGAAGAACTCTTTATTAGACCTGGTTTAGATCTCTCTTAGTCCCAGTGTAGACCACTTTTAAACCTGTTTTAGACCCGGTTTGGATCTGGATTAGTCCTGGTTTAGTCCCGGTTTTGTCCTGTTTTTAGACCTGGTTTAGTCCCGGTTTAGTCCCAATTTAGTCCCAATTAAGTCCCAAGTTTAGGCTTAGTTTAGACCTGGTTTAGACCTGTTTTTAGACTTGGTTTAGATCTCACTTAGTCCTGGTTTAGTCCCGGTTTAGACCTCTTTTAACCCTGTTTTAGACCTGGTTTAGATCTGGATTAGTCCTGGTTTAGACAAGGTTTAGTCCCGGTTTTGTCCTGTTTTTAGACCTGGTTTAGATCTCACTTATTCACAGTTTTAGTCCTGCTTTAGGATTAGTTTAGACCTGGTTTAATCCCGATATAGGCCCAGTTAAGTACTGGTTTAGACCTGGTTTAGTCCTGTTTTTAGACTTGGTTTAGATCTCACTTATTCACGATTTAATTCAGATTTAGTCCCAGTTTATTCCTGGTTTAGACCCGGTTTAGTTCTGGTTTTAGACCTGGTTTAGATCTCACTTATTCACAGTTTAGTCCTGGTTTAGACCTGGTTTAGTCCTGGTTTAGACCCAGTTTAGTTCTGTTTTTAGTCCTGGTTTAGACCTGGTTTAGACCTGGTTTAGACCTGGTTTAGTCCTGGTTTAGTCCTGGTTTAGACCTGGTTTAGTTCAGTTTTTAGTCCTGGTTTAGACCTGGTTTAGACCTGGTTTAGACCTGGTTTAGACCTGGTTTAGACCTGGTTTAGACCTGGTTTAGACTTGGTTTAGTCCTGGTTTAGACCCAGTTTAGTTCTGTTTTTAGTCCTGGTTTAAACCTGGTTTAGTCCTGGTTTAGACCTGGTTTAGTCTCTGGTTTAGACCTGGTTTAGTCTCTGTTTAGTCCTGGTTTAGTCCTGGTTTAGTCCTGGTTTAGTCTCTGGTTTAGTCCTGGTTTAGTCCTGGTTTAGTCTCTGGTTTAGTCTCTGGTTTAGACCTGGTTTAGTCCTGGTTTAGTTCAGTCGAGATCAGCAGTTCCAGGTCTTAAATGATCCAGTTGATTCTAGTGAAGGTGTGTGGAGTTTAAAAACACAGTGGAGCACTTCCTTCCTGTATCACCACATGATGACATCACGAGGTGGTGTTAAACAGCCTTAAATGTTCAGGTTTGTGTTTTAAACATGTGAATGAAACAAAACTCAACTCCGGGTCTGAGCGACGAGGAAACGACGTCCGGACAGAAGAAAAGTTTGAGACGGAAAATTTAAGTCAGTTTTTATTTAGTTGTTTGTGTTTTTATTGACTCGTTTGTTGTTTGTTCTTCTGTTTGTTCTTCTGTTTGTTCTTCTGTTTGTTCTTCTGTTTGTTCCTCAGTCTGTCCCGCGGTTCGTACCGACGCGTCAGTAACGGCGAGAGCGACTCGGCCAAAACCATGTTGGCCGAAGACTCCGAGACCGAAGCCACGACCCCGAGTAAAGACGGAACCTTGGTGATTCGCCCGGTGAGAAACAACACCAACACACGAGGACTTTAACACGACAAAAGTCCAGGAAAAGTCCGAGTCTGTGTTTTTATCTTGACGAGAGGAAGTTTGTGTCTCTGAAGTGACTGAAATCCAGTTTATTTTAGTCTCATTTTCTGAAAACAAATTTGAAAATTGATGTGAAAAGTTGAGAAAATTCTACAATAAAACTGAACCGGGACTAGACCAGGTTCTATTTCTCAGAGTAAACGCACAAATATCTAAAATTCTTCTGGATTTACAAAATGTACAAATATTCAGATCAATATTTCAGAGACGCAGGTTTCCTTTGACCTTTGACCTCCACAGAGCCACTTCCTGTTTGTGTCGAAAATGTTTTTAAAAAATGTAAATATGTAAATGTTTAAATTTGAAATATTTATTTAATATTTATTTTATGTTTCATGATGAGATTTTTCAGCTCCACAGCGTCTGTCACCTCCTCATCACACCTGAACCTCGACTGGAACTGAACCAGGACTGAACCAGGACTGAACCAGGACTGAACCAGGGACTAAACCAGGACTGAACCAGGACTAGACCAGGTCTAGACCAGGGACTAAACCAGGACTGAACCAGGACTAAACCAGGACTGAACCAGGACTAGACCAGGTCTAGACCAGGACTAAACCAGGACTGAACCAGGACTAAACCAGGACTAAACCAGGACTAAACCAGGACTGAACCAGGACTAAACCAGGACTAAACCAGGACTGAACCAGGAAACCAGGACTAAACCAGGACTAAACCAGGACTGAACCAGGACTAGACCAGGACTAGACCAGGACTAGACCAGGACTAAACCAGGACTAAACCAGGACTAAACCAGGACTGAACCAGGACTGAACCAGGACTGAACCAGGACTAACCAGGACTAGAACCAGGACTAGACCAGGACTAGACCAGGACTAAACCAGGACTAGACCAGGACTAACCAGGACTAGACCAGGACTAACCCAGGACTGAAACAGGACTAAATGAGGAATTAAACCAGAGACGAGACCAGAGACGAGACCAGGGACCAGACCAGGGACCAGACCAGGGACCAGACCAGGGACCAGACCAGGGACCAGACCAGGGACCAGACCAGGGACCAGACTAGACCAGGGACCAAAGGACTGAATCAGAGACCAGTCCAGGTCTGTACCTGGTCTAAACTGAATCCGGTCTGAATCCGGTCTGAACCCGGTCTGAACCCGGTCTGAACCCGGTCTGGACCCGGTCTGGACCCGGTCTGGACCCGGTCTAAACGTGTCCCTGGCTCCTCTCCTCAGAGTCTGAGTCGTTCTCCGGCGTCGGCTCCTCCGTCCGGTCCGGCTCCTCCTCCTCCGGCTCCGCTCCTGCACCTGCCGGACCTGATCCAACAGAGCCACGCCTCCCCCGCCCCCGGCCCCGCCCTCCCGCACCTGTCGCACCTGTCGCACCCGTCACACCCGTCTGTCCTCTCCCCCTCCCTCTCCCAGCTCTCCCCCCTCGACAGGCTGCTCATGGAGGTACGTCGCCTCTTCCTCCTCCTCCTCTTCCTCCCTGTGTGGCTCCTTCTGGCTCCTCCCTGTGGCTCCTCCCTGTGGCTCCTCCCTGTGGCTCCCTCTGGTGGTGGAGCGGCTCGCTGCATGAGCTGCACTAACCCGTCTTCAAAGGCGCCGCTGCACAGATCTAACTCGTCTAACTCCTCTTCGTCGGTGTTTGTTCTTAATCGACTTCAGCCTCTCGTCTGTTTTTTAACATTTCTAATCGTCACAGTTTGATTTTTGCTTCTAACGTTTCAGATCTAAACCTGGTGACGTTTGTGTTTTTAAACCTGGTGACGTTTGTGTTTTTAAACCTGGTGACGTTTGTGTTTTTGAGGTGAAGCTGCAGCTTTAAACTGTTCTGTTTCTGTCTAATCCAGGTGTGGATCTGAGAGTCTCTGCACAGTTTAACCTGAGGAGGTTTAACCTGAGGAGGTTTAATCTGAGGAGGTTTAATCTGAGGAGGTTTAATCTGAGGAGGTTTAATCTGAGGAGGTTTAACCTGAGGAGGTTTAATCTGAGGAGGTTTAACCTGAGGAGGTTTAATCTGAGGAGGTTTAATTTGTCTCTGTGTCTCTGAGTTTATCTGAGGGTCTGAAAAAACTCACTGAACCTAAAGTTAAACCAGTGAAGATTTAAACAGTTAAACAAATTATAAAACACAGAAGATTAAAAGGCAGAAAAGAAAGAAAACAATCACATGAACATAGATGAAGAAAAAAACAGGACATTTACTCAGTTTCCTCAGATTTTGTCAGACAAGAAGAAAACCAGATTCCAACCAGGATCAAATTAGAACTAAACCAGGACTAAACCAAGTTTAAACCAGGACTATTCTAGGTCTAAACTTGGTCTAAGTAGGCGATTTCTAAAAGGAAAAAAGAAAGAACAGTGACGCGTAGATGAAGAAAACTGTGACATTTTCTCAGTTTTCCCAGATTTTGTCCGAGTTCCCGTCGCTCAGATCCACAGGACGTCCTGATCCGTGTCTTTCCAAACGTTGATTGATTTGATTCATAAACACGACTCGATTCTCCGTCGTGGTTCATAAACGTCTCGTCTCCTCAGGTCGATGGTGCAGAGACTCTGGGTTTTACATTTTCTAATCAAAACCTTTTGTGAGATTAGATTTCTGCTCTAACCTTCTCGTGGTCTCGGTGTCGGTGTGTGTGGGACCAACCTGCTCCTCCTTTTCTCTCGCTCCTTTAACTCTTTTTTAAATTCAAATGTTTCTGTTTTTTATTTCTGAAGTTGTTTTTTTGATTTTCAGTCTCAGTCTGAGAACAGCTCCATGTCCAAACACAAGTCGTCCTCGTCTTTCACTCCGTTCATCGACCCCAGGCTCCTGCAGATCTCCCCGTCCAGCGCCAGCTCCCTCAACAACATGGGTAAGAAGAGCAGAGACTCACTCAGATGCCCTCCCACCGTGTGTCCCACCGTGTCCCACCGTGTCCCACCGTGTCCCACCGTGTGTCCCACCGTGTCCCACCGTGTCCCACCGTGTCCCACCGTGTCCCACCGTGTGTGTCCCACCGTGTCCCACCGTGTCCCACCGTGTCCACCGTGTCCCACCGTGTCCCACCGTGTCCCAGTGTCCCACCGTGTGTCCCACCGTGTCCCACCGTGTCCCACCGTGTCCCACCGTGTCCCCGTGTCCCACCGTGTCCCACCGTGTCCCACCGTGTCCCACCGTGTCCCACCGTGTCCCACCGTGTGTCCCACCGTGTCCCACCGTGTCCCACCGTGTCCCACCGTGTGTCCCACCGTGTCCCACCGTGTGTCCCACCGTGTGTCCACCGTGTGTCCCAGTGTCCCACCGTGTCCCACCCGTGTCCACCGTGTGTCCCACCGTGTCCCAGTGTCCCACCGTGTCCCACCGTGTGTCCCACCGTGTCCACCGTGTCCCACCGTGTCCCACCGTGTCCCACCGTGTGTCCCACCGTGTCCCACCGTGTCCCACCGTGTCCCACCGTGTGTCCCACCGTGTCCCAGTGTCCCACCGTGTGTCCCACCGTGTCCCACCGTGTCCCACCGTGTCCCACCGTGTCCCACCGTGTGTCCCACCGTGTCCCACCGTGTCCCACCGTGTCCCACCGTGTCCCAGTGTCCCACCGTGTCCCACCGTGTCCCAGTGTCCCACCGTGTCCCACCGTGTCCCACCGTGTCCCACCGTGTCCCAGTGTCCCACCGTGTCCCACCGTGTCCCACCGTGTCCCACCGTGTCCCCACCGTGTCCCACCGTGTCCCACCGTGTCCCACCGTGTGTGTCCCACCGTGTCCCAGTGTCCCACCGTGTCCCACCGTGTCCCCACCGTGTCCCACCGTGTGTCCACCGTGTGTCCCAGTGTCCCACCGTGTGTCCCACCGTGTCCCCGTGTCCCACCGTGTCCCAGTGTCCCACCGTGTCCCACCGTGTGTCCCACCGTGTGTCCCACCGTGTCCCACCGTGTCCCACCGTGTCCCACCAGTGTCCCACCGTGTCCCACCGTCCCAGTGTCCCACCGTGTCCCACCAGTGTTCCCGTGTCTCTCCCGTCCAGTGTCCCAGTGTCCCAGTGTCCCACCGTGTCCCAGTGTCCCACCAGTGTCCCCAGTGTCTCCAGTGTCCCACCGTGTCCCCCCGTGTCCCAGTGTCCCACCGTGTCCCACCGTGTGTCCCACCGTGTGTCCCACCGTGTCCCACCGTGTCCCACCAGTGTCCCACCGTGTGTCCCACCGTGTGTCCCAGTGTCCCACCAGTGTCTCCCAGTGTCTCCCAGTGTCCCACCGTGTCCCACCAGTGTCCCACCGTGTCCCACCGTGTCCCCAGTGTCCACCGTGTCCCACCGTGTGTCCCAGTGTGTCCCTGTGTGTCCCTGTGTGTCCCTGGGTCTGATTTTGTGGAAAAGCTGCTGACTCCTGGACTAGTTTGAGGCATTAATGCTCTTTCTCTCTTCTCTCTCTTCCCCTCTTTTCTCCCTTCCTCTTTTCTCTCCTCTTGTCCTTTTTTCTCTCCTTCCCATCTCCTCCTCTCTCCTCCTTTTTTCTCTTCCCTTTCCCTCCTCGTCTTTTCTACTTTCTCCTCCTCTTTTCTCTCTCCTCTTTTCACTCCTCTCCTCTTTGTTTCTTTCCTTCTCTCGCTCTGTCCCTTTCCTCCTCTCCCCTCCTCTCCTTCATCCTACTCTTCATTTTCCTCCTCCTTTTCATTCCCCTCTCTCCTCTCTTCACTTCTATCCTCCTCTCTTTTCTTTCCTCTCTCCTCCTCTTTTCTCTTCCCTTTCCCTCCTCCTGTCTCTCCTCCTATCTTCTTCTTACTATTCCTTTTCTTCTCTTTCTCCTCTTCTCTCTCCTCCCCTTTTCTCTCTCTCTCCTCTCCTTCTCTCTCACTCTGTCCCTTTCCTCCTTCCTTTTTCCACCTCTCTCCCCTCCTCTCTCCTTCATTTTCTTCCCCTCTCCTTCTCTTCATCCCCCTCTCCCCTCCCATCTCTCCTCCTTCTCTCCTTCCTCTCTCCTCTTTTCTCTCCCCTTTCCCTCATCCTCTCTTATCTTCTCTCTCCTCTCTCGCTCTGTCCCTCTCCTCCTTCCTTTTCCTCCTCCCCCCCTCCTCTCTCCTTCATCCTTCTCTTTATTTTCCTGCTCTCTTCTCCTTCTCTCCTCCTCTCTTTTCTCCCCTCTCTCCCCCTTGTTTCTCTCCTCTCTCTTTTCTCTCTCACTCTGTCCCTTCTTTCTCTCCTCCTCCTCCTCTCCTCTCCTCTCCTCCCTTCTCCTCCTCTCTCCTCCTCCTCTCCTCCTCCTCTCTCCTCCTCCTCCCTCGTTCAGCGGTGTTTGGTTCAGACGGGCGTCTCGTGGAGCAGCTCCGTTCGGATCCGTCTCGTAAAGGTTCCGTGGTGAACGTGAACCCGGTGAACACTCGTCCTCCGAGCGACACTCCGGAGATCAGGAAGTACAAGAAGAGGTTCAACTCCGAGATCCTGTGCGCCGCGCTGTGGGGTGAGTCCCGCCGCCGCCGCCCCTGTGCCCTTTGGCAACGCACTTCACACACCGGAACCAGAGAACGACACCAACGCAAAAACAAACACAAAACGAACAGTAAATGAACACAAAAGTGAACACAACATGAACGCAACACGGCAAACGAATGCAAAACACAAAACCAACACAAAACAAAAACGAATGCTACACGAACACAAAACAAACACAAACACACACCAAAAAGAACGCAACACGAATACAACACGAAAGCAAAATGAACACAACACAAACGCAACACGGAACACAAAACCAAGAAAGCAACATGAACACAAAACTAACACAAAACGAGAGCAACACCAACACAAAATGAACACAAAACAAACACGAAACAAAGACGAAACGAACACAAAAACAAACACACAACACAGAACACAAAACAAATGCAAAACTAACTAAACCAAACACAAAATGAAGAACAAAATGAACACAAAACAAAAACAAAAAAACACTAATGTAAAACAAACGCAACACAAAGGCAACGCGGAACAAAACAAACACAAAACGAACACGAAACACAAAACTGAAAGCAAAAACAAACTCAAAACGAACACAAAATGAACACAAAATGAACACAACACAAACACGAAATTAACGCAACATGGACATAAAACAAACACAAAAACAAACACGAAACAAATGCAACACGAATGCAAAATGAACAGAAAACCAAACGTGAACCGGAACACAAACGTGAACACAAAATGAACACAGACAGAACGCAACACGAATACAACAGGAACACAAAATGAACACAAAACCAAGAAACCAACATGAACAAAAAACTGACACGAAACAAATGTGAAAACGAACCCAACAGCACAGAGGACAGAGCTCTGAGTCGCAGCCAAACTGATGTGACAGAAGTGCATCAGGTCCAGACTCTTAAACACACTCGTGTCGTGTCGTGTTTTGTGTTCAGGAGTGAACTTGCTCGTGGGCACAGAGTCGGGGCTCATGCTGTTGGACCGGAGTGGACAGGGCAAAGTTTATCCTCTGATCAACCGCAGGAGGATTCAGCAGATGGACGTTCTGGAGGGACTCAACGTTTTAGTCACGATTTCAGGTAAAAATACCAAAACTAAAATAATAAAAATAACACGGGATTTTCAAAAGGAGAAAAGACCCGACTGTGTGACCTGACTGTTTCTCATCCTCTGGTCTCAGGAAAGAAGAACAAGCTCCGGGTTTATTACCTGTCGTGGCTCCGGAACAAAATCCTCCACAACGACCCGGAGGTGGAGAAGAAGCAGGGCTGGGTCAACGTGGGCGACCTGGAGGGATGTGTGCACTACAAAGTCGGTACGTCTCCCCGAGAGAGACCGGGGACTAAACCGGGACTAAACCGGGACTAAACCAGGACTAAACCAGGACTAAACCAGGACTAAACCAAGGACTAAACCAAGGACTAGGACTAAACCAGGACTAAACCAGGACTAAAAGAGGACTAAACCAAGACTAAACAAACCAAGACTAAACCAGGATTTGGTCCAAACCAGGACTAAACCAGGACTGGACACACATTTAAACTCTTGTAGTTCACTCACATAAATGTCATTTTTAAAAGTGTATTTCATCTTTTCCATATTATAAAGTTTTCTTATTTTAATGAGGAATTTTTGTGTAAAAATGTTCAAAAATTTCACCTGTTTACAACATTTATTTATTTATTTATTTTTTACATATTAGATACAAAAATGAACTGAGTGGAAATGTGCATCTTATTTAGTTTTGGAGCAAATCAGATCTACAAACTGTTTTTACAATCTCAGATTTAGTTTAAAGCTGCACTGTGTAACATTTCTAGTGGAGGGTCCGTCAGACGCTTTTCTCCATGGAGATATTCTTGCTTTGTTTGAAATGTTCCACAGTTTGGCATTAAACCTTTTCTATCTCCATGGAGACCACAGTGCACCTTTATGTTAGTTTCTTTCTTGGGTAAGGTTTGGTATTTACATGTTTCTTCATGATTCTTTCACTTCTCCAGGTTCTTTGCTCTGTTCTTTCACTTTTTCTCTTTTCTCTTCATGTTTGTTTTTATTTGTTTCCAGTAAAATACGAGAGGATCAAGTTTTTAGTTTTGGCTCTGAAGAATTCAGTGGAGGTTTACGCCTGGGCCCCGAAACCCTACCACAAGTTTATGGCTTTTAAGGTGAGCGCCTGTCTGCACCTGTCTGCACCTGTCTGCTCCTGCTCCTGTCTGCACCTGTCTGCACCTGTCTGCACCTGTCTGCTCCTGTCTGCTCCTGTCTGCACCTGTCTGCACCTGTCTGCACCTGTCTGCACCTGTCTGCTCCTGTCTGCACCTGTCTGCTCCTGTCTGCTCCTGTCTGCTCCTGTCTGCTCCTGTCTGCACCTGTCTGCTCCTGTCTGCTCCTGTCTGCTCCTGTCTGTCTGCTCCTGTCTGCACCTGTCTGCTCCTGTCTCCTGTCTGTCTGCTCCTGTCTGCTCCTGTCTGCACCTGTCTGCTCCTGTCTGCACCTGTCTGCTCCTATCTGCTCCTGTCTCCTCTTCTGCTCCTGTCTGCACCTGTCTGCTCCTGTCTGCACCTGTCTGCACCTGTCTGCTCCTGTCTGCTCCTGTCTGCTCCTGTCTGCTCCTGTCTGCTCCTGTCTGCACCTGTCTGCACCTGTCTGCTCCTGTCTGCTCCTGTCTGCACCTGTCTGCTCCTGTCTGCTCCTGTCTGCACCTGTCTGCTCCTGTCTGCACCTGTCTGCTCCTGTCTGCACCTGTCTGCTCCTGCTCCTGTCTGCACCTGTCTGCACCTGTCTGCTCCTGTCTGCACTTGTCTCCTCTTCTGTTCTGACCTGTGTGTGTGTGTGTGTGTGTGTGTGTGTGTGTGTGTGTGTGTGTGTGTGTGTGTGTCTGTGTGTGTGTGTGTGTGTGTGTGTGTGTGTGTGTGTGTGTGTGTGTGTGTGTGTGTGTGTGTTTGTGTTTTTCTGCTCAGTCTTTCGGGGACCTGGTGCATAAGCCGCTCCTGGTCGACCTGACTGTGGAGGAGGGTCAGAGGTTAAAGGTCATCTACGGGTCGGTGTCGGGGTTTCACGCCGTCGACGTCGACTCGGGCGCCGTGTACGACATCTACCTGCCCACACACGTGAGTCCTGCACGAGAACTCACCCACAAATGACCAAACACAAACACATCCTCCTTTTGTATGATCATAAACTATAAACTTAAACATTAACATAATTATTAGTTTGTACGATAATAAACTGGAAAAACAATCCTTATGTTCTTCATTTTCATTTTGCTTATTTTGATACAATCTTAAAGGTTAAATGTAAAACCTACGACTATAATACAATACAAAAAAAGGAAAATTGGGTTAAAATAATATTTAATCAGCACAGTAGTCGTTTATTTTGCTGTATGTAAATATTTGTAAAGTTTCGTCATGAATATTCAGAAACAAACACATCTTTTTTATTTTTGAAACTGTCATGAACACGGGCGAGTTAATATACGTTTTTTTCTTCTTCACGCTCCTTTTCAAGATGTAAAATTCAAAATAAAAACAAATAAAATCTAATTACTGATGGGGTTTTCACAGTCATGGAAATCCACTCCAAGTCCTAGAATTTCAGTTCTCATGAGTCTGTTGTGATGATTTGTGACGACAGTAAAAGCACCGACAGGATTTAAAATGTTCAAAACTATAATCCCAAACCAGAAGGTGAGAGGAAAGAGTTGATGTTTTAGATTTAACCCTAAAAGTCTGATCAGTTCTACACACGTAGGTGCTGGAAAGTCATGGAAAATTCACTTTAGCTCCTGAAAAAGTCATGGAAGAATTTGGAAATGTTGTCAGTGGAAAAGAGTGAGAAAACTGGACTGAGAAATACAACAAAAACTAACACACGGGGAGGGCACCTGACGCGCGGGGAGGGCACCTGACGCACGGGGAGGGCACCTGACGCACGGGGAGGGCACCTGACGCGCGGGGAGGGCACCTGACGCGCGGGAGGGCACCTGACGCACGGGGAGGGCACCTGACGCGCGGGGAGGGCACCTGACGCGCGGGGAGGGCACCTGACGCACGGGGAGGGCACCTGACGCACGGGGAGGGCACCTGACGCACGGGGAGGGCACCTGACGCACGGGGAGGGCACCTGACGCACGGGGAGGGGAGTGAGAGTGCGGGAGGGCATCTGATGTTTTTTGTGGCGCAGATCCAGACGAGTATCCAGTGTCACGCCATCATCATCCTCCCGAACACCGACGGCATCGAGCTGCTCGTCTGTTACGAGGACGAAGGCGTTTACGTCAACACGTACGGACGCATCACCAAAGACGTCGTCCTGCAGTGGGGAGAGATGCCCACCTCTGTCGGTACGAATACTACTACTACTACTACTACTACAAATACTACTATACTACTACTACTGCAGTGGGGAGAGATGCCCACCTCTGTCGGTACGACTACTACTACTACTACTACTACTACTACAAATACTACTACTACTACTACTACTGCAGTGGGGAGAGATGCCCACCTCTGTCGGTACGACTACTACTACTACTACTACTACAAATACTACTACTACTACTACTACTGCAGTGGGGAGAGATGCCCACCTCTGTCGGTACGACTACTACTACTACTACTACAAATACTACTACTACTACTACAAATACTACTACTACTACTGCAGTGGGGAGAGATGCCCACCTCTGTCGGTACGAGTACTACTACTACTACTACTACAAATACTACTACTACTACTACTACTGCAGTGGGGAGAGATGCCCACCTCTGTCGGTACGACTACTACTACTACTACTACTACAAATACTACTACTACTACTGCAGTGGGGAGAGATGCCCACCTCTGTCGGTACGAATACTACTACTACTACTACTACAAATACTACTACAAATACTACTACTGCAGTGGGGAGAGATGCCCACCTCTGTCGGTACGAATACTACTACTACTACTACTACAAATACTACTACTACTACTACTACTGCAGTGGGGAGAGATGCCCACCTCTGTCGGTACGAATACTACTACTACTACTACTACTACTACTACAAATACTACTACTACTGCAGTGGGGAGAGATGCCCACCTCTGTCGGTACGAATACTACTACTACTACTACTACTACTACAAATACTACTACTACTGCAGTGGGGAGAGATGCCCACCTCTGTCGGTACGAGTACTACTACTACTACTACAAATACTACTACTACTACTACTACTGCAGTGGGGAGAGATGCCCACTTCTGTCAGTATAAAATACTACTGTGAATAATACTGCTACTACTACACACCTGCTAACCCCTGTGTGTGTTCTTGTGTGTGTGTGTGTGTTTGTGTTCTTGTGTTTGTGTGTGTGTGTGTGTGTGTGTGTGTGTGTGTGTGTGTGTGTGTGTGTGTGTGTGTGTGTGTGTGTGTGTGTGTGTGTGTGTGTGTTGTTGTATCTTCAGCCTACATTAGGTCGAACCAGATCATGGGTTGGGGGGAAAAGGCCATCGAGATTCGCTCTGTGGAGACGGGACATTTGGACGGAGTCTTTATGCACAAAAGAGCCCAGAGACTCAAGTTCCTCTGCGAGCGGAACGACAAGGTCAGAACAACACCACCACAACGGGTCTAGAACGGGTTTACAACGGGTTTACAACGGGTTTACAACGGGTTTACAACGGGTTTACAACGGGTTTACAACAGGTTTACAACGAGTTTACAACGGGTTTACAACGGGTTTACAACGAGTTTACAACGAGTTTACAACGGGTTTACAACGGGTTTACAACGGGTTTACACAACGAGTTTACAACGAGTTTACAACGGGTTTTACAACGGGTTTACAACGAGTTTACAACGGGTTTACAACGGGTTTACAACGGGTTTACAACGAGTTTACAACGTTTACAACGTTTACAACAGGTTTACAACGAGTTTACAACGGGTTTACAACGAGTTTACAACGGGTTTACAACGAGTTTACAACGGGTTTACAACGGGTTTACAACGGGTTTACAACGAGTTTACAACGGGTTTACAACGGGTTTACAACGAGTTTACAACGGGTTTACAACGGGTTTACAACGGGTTTACAACAGGTTTACAACGAGTTTACAACGCGTTTACAACAGGTTTACAACGAGTTTACAACAGGTTTACAACGGGTTTACAACGGGTTCACGAGTTTACAATGGGTTTACATCGGGTTTACCACGAGTTTACAACAGGTTTACAACGAGTTTACAACAGGTTTACAACGAGTTTACAACGGGTTTACAACGGGTCTAGAACGGGTTTACAACGAGTTTACAACGGGTTTACGAGTTTACAATGGGTTTACGAGTTTACAACGAGTTTACAACGGGTTTACAACGAGTTTACAACGGGTTTACGAGTTTACAATGGGTTTACAACGGGTTTACGTTTACGGTTTACAACGAGTTTATACGGGTTTACGAGTTTACAATGGGTTTACACGGGTTTACAAGGGTTTACAACGGTTTACAACGAGTTTACAACGGGTTTACAACGGGTTTACAACGGGTTTAACAAAGGGTTTACAACGGGTTTACAAAGGGTTTACAAAGAGTTTACAACGGGTTTACAACGGGTTACAACGGGTTTACAACGGGTTTACGAGTTTACAACGGGTTTACAACGGGTTTACAACGGTTTACAACGAGTTTACAACGAGTTTACAACGGGTTTACAACGGGTTTACAACGAGTTTACAACGGGTTTACAACGGGTTTACAACGGGTTTACAACGAGTTTACAACGCGTTTACAACAGGTTTACAACGAGTTTACAACGGGTTTACAACGAGTTTACAACGGGTTTACAACGAGTTTACAACGGGTTTACAACGGGTTTACAACGGTTTACAACGTTTACAACGGGTTTACAACGTTTACAACGGTTTACAACGGGTTTACAACGGGTTTACAACGAGTTTACAACGGGTTTTTACAACGGGTTTACAACGGGTTTACAACAGGTTACAACGAGTTTACAACGCGTTTACAACAGGTTACAACGAGTTTACAACAGGTTTACAACGGGTTTACAACGGGTTCACGAGTTTACAATGGGTTTACATCGGGTTTACCACGAGTTTACAACAGGTTTACAACGAGTTTACAACAGGTTTACAACGAGTTTACAACGGGTTTACAACGGGTCTAGAACGGGTTTACAACGGGTCTAGAACGGGTTTACAACGAGTTTACGAGTTTACAATGGGTTTACGAGTTTACAATGAGTTTACAACGGGTTTACAACGAGTTTACAACGGGTTTACGAGTTTACAATGGGTTTACAACGGGTTTACGAGTTTACAATGGGTTTACAACGAGTTTATAACGGGTTTACGAGTTTACAATGGGTTTACAACGGGTTTACAACGGGTTTACAACGAGTTTACAACGAGTTTACAACGGGTTTACAACGGGTTTACAACGGGTTTACAAAGGGTTTACAACGGGTTTACAAAGGGTTTACAAAGAGTTTACAACGGGTTTACAACGGGTCTAGAACGGGTTTACAACGGGTTTACGAGTTTACAACGGGTTTACAACGGGTCTAGAACGGGTTTACAACGGGTTTACAATGAGTTTACAACGGGTTTACAACGAGTTTACAACGGGTTTACGAGTTTACAATGGGTTTACAACGGGTTTACGGTTTACGAGTTTACAATGGGTTTACAACGAGTTTATAACGGGTTTACGAGTTTACAATGGGTTTACAACGGGTTTACAACGGGTTTACAATGAGTTTACAACGGGTTTACAACGGGTTTACACAACGGGTTTACAACGGGTTTTACAACGGGTTTACACAAGGGTTTACAACGGGTTTACAACGAGTTTACAACGGGTTTACAACGGGTTTACAACGAGTTTACAACGGGTTTACAACGGGTTTACAACGAGTTTACAACAGGTTTACAACGAGTTTACAACGGGTTTAGGTTCTTTTATTTTTTTACCCTGGTTTAGTTCCAGTTTAGTCCTTGTTTAGACCTGTTGTAAACCTGCTTTAGTCTCGGTTTTACTCTTGCTTTATGCCTTGTTTTCCTTTCGTTCTGTCTTGTTCTCGTTCTTGTTTCCTTTTCGTTCCATCTCATTCCCGTTCTTGTTTTCCTTTCGTTCTGTTTGATTTCTGTTGTTTTCCTTTTGTTCCGTCTCATTCCCGTTCTGATGTTCCTTTCGTTCTGTCTCATTCTCGTGCTCCTTTCGTTCCTTTTCTCGTTCCTGTTCTCGTTTTCCTTTCGTTCCATCTCATTCCCGTTCTGGTGTTCGGTTGGTTCTGTCTTATCTCTGTTCTGGTGTTCCTTTTGTTCCTTTTGTTCTTTTTTCATTCACGTTCTGGTGTTCCTTTCCTTCCGTCTCATTCCTGTTCTCATGTTCCTTTCATTCTACCTTATTTACGTTCTTGTTTTCCTTTTGTTTTGTCTTATTTCCATTCTGGTGTTCCTTTCGTTCCTTTTGTTCCTTTTCTCATTCCCGTTCTGTTGTTTCTTTTGTTCTGTTTTATTCCCATTCTGTTGTTCCTTCTGTTCCTTTTCTCATTCCCGTTGTTCCGTTCTGTTGTGTTGTTCCTTTTGTTCCTTTTCTCATTCCTGTTCTGCTGTTCCTTTTGTTCCTTTCGTTCCTTCTCTCATTCCTGCTCTGTTGTTCCGCTGTGTCGTTCCTTTTGTTCCTTTTCTCATTCCCGTTGTGCCGTTGTTCCTTTTGTTCCTTTTCTCATTCCCATTGTGCCGTTGTTCCTTTTGTTCCTTTTCTCATTCCTGTTCTGCTGTTCCTTTTGTTCCTTTTGTTCCTTCTCTCATTCCCGTTGTTCCTTTTGTTCCAGGTGTTCTTTGCGTCGGTGCGTCAGGGCGGGGCCAGTCAGGTTTACTTCATGACACTGGGCCGCACGTCCCTCATGAGCTGGTAACATCCCAGAACCCGACCAGGACTCCACCACCGGGACTTAAAACCCCGGACCGGGACCAGGACTGGGACCAGGACTGGGACCAGGACTGGGACCAGGACTGGGACCAGGACCGGGACGGCCGAGCGGAGGACGGCGCCCCCCGGTGGCCGCTCCTCTTTGTGTCATAATAAAAGTGTGTCTTTGTGAAGAGCGGTGAGCCGGCGCGGGAAGACGCAGCGGGACTTTTACTTTGAAAGGACGGCGCTCGGCTCACTGCTTCCTGTTTAGTCCAGGTCTGAATCAGGTAGAATTTGCTTGTTTAAAATACTAACACTGAGTTCGGCCGACGTCACGACTTCACCTCCAGATTCTGTTTGGAGAAAGAACGACTGGGTTACACTTTTAGACGGAGCAGTTCCAGGATCTCGCAAATCATCTCAAATATCTGCACGTTTCTTTAAAATGTCAAATATTACGACGTTTTCTGATCGATTCTAACGTCGTTTCCTCGTCACAAACTGAGCTGGACGTGTGTTTTGTTTCAATTGTAAATGTTGAAAAGAGAATTTACCAGATTTTGGCTGTGATTTCTGACAACCTGATTTTGTGTCCTCGATTCAGTGTCAGATCGTAAAAAACGAACATCAGCGACGCGACGGAAACAGACGATAAAACGTACAACAAAATGAGTGACGGACACAGAGACGCGAAATACAAACTCGGGAAACAGCGAAAAATAATGATTTAAATTTATTCCTCACGGCTTTAAAGTGGTAAATTTAAACTGCTGCGTTTCATTCACATTATTCTTCACGATCGGAGATTTGAAGTCTTTGTGAGTGGAAATTCTAAGTCTTCACAATTGGAGATTTTAAGTCTTTGTGATCGAAGATTTTCGGTCTTTGGGGTCGGAGATTTTCAGTGTCTGCGAGCGGAGATTTCGAAGTCTTCGCGAGCGGAGATTTGAAGTCTCATCAGATTCTCCTCGTGTTTGTGGTTTGCATTTTTTTGTCTCACATTTAAAACCGAAAAATCCCGTAGTGTGTCGCGGCCTTAACACACAAACCTGCAGATTTAGGCTGAGCTCTTCTCTCAAACTGTCCACTTGAAAACTTCATGACATCACAACGTGGAACAGAGCCTTCTGAGCTTTGAAGATGTAGACAAATAATATAATAATAATAAATCATTACTCCAACATGTGAATGAAACAAAACTAGAGTGAGCAGACGTCCCCTGTCCCAGCAGATTTATCAAAAATAAACAGTCATTTGTCAAGAAAACAAGTGAATTTATACAAGAAATCTCCCTTTTGTTCCTATTTTTGACCAATGTGATCCCCACAAACTGTAAAGACGGGAATATATCTTCATTTATTTAGTTAAAATACAGAAAACTGAGCTTGAAAACGAACATGAGAAGAAAAAAATGCAGCGTCAGAGTCTCTCAGATTAACATTGACCCACATAGTAAATTAAGAACGGACGGTTAGTTCCAGTTTCGCTCTTTTCACAGTTTTATTTTTTTTACCAACCGTCGAAACTCCGTGAAAATCTGATCACACAAGCCCGGCTCTGTTTGTGACGAGGGATTTGGAGCATTAGAACGTGACTCTTGAGTGAGACGGGACGTGTCCTGAGACGTCCTCACGTGTTTTTAATCCGTGTAAAAGCTGCTGAACCTGAACTTTCCAAAAACCCGCCGTGTAAATACGAAAGCGACGCTCCAGATCCCAATTTCTCCGCAGAATCCGATGGCGAAGCCGTCGGGACGCCGCCCGGACGATCTAACACTATTCTGCTACGCGCTTTCTGTCAAAATCTCAAGCCACTTCCTGCCTTTCGGAGTCGAGGTGTTAGGGACCTTTTTTTCCTGAGCGAACCCGCGATCACGACAGGGAACCACGCAGTCACACGTTTAAATCTCCTTTTGAATCGCACCTCTTTGCCTCAAAAATACTGAAACCAACTTCGAATTTTTTTCCAATGCACTGTTTTGAATGCTGCACACAACCTTAACCCAACATATTTTAAAACAGTAATCGTATTTATCATGTTTTGGACGATGTTATTGATTGACGAAAACGGAAAAAAAAAAAAGTGGAATTTTACTGTGAAATTTGTAGCGCACAGCCGTATACGTAGCATGGTTTTGAGGGCGAATCGTGCATGCAGTCGATCATGGCTTGAAAAATCACCTTTGAAATCATAGAAATCATGGTTTGAAATGATAAACGCATCATAAAAATAAAAAGAAGAAGAAGAAGGGGGCGTGGCTCCGTGTAACCGTACAGCGACGCCCTTTCACAATAAAACACCGGTGCTATTCATACACTAATGAATGGACTCGAATGGACCTGTTTTTTGGAGCTTTTGTTTTGAAACTCCTCCAATAATAATAATAATAATAATTTCCTTTGTTTTTTTTCGAGGTCCGTGCCTTCTCTGTTTTCGCTGCCATCAATTGTAACCTTTTATTGTGAAGGTGTACCTACCGACTTAAACCTACCTAACTTCCTACTGCTCTTATTTTGAAGGCCAAATCTACTGGACAGTGTTACCAAAAGGCATATTTTTAAACTCCGTAAAAAAAACAAAAAAAACACAACGCTTCGTTTTTAGATTTTTACGACTGTCTGAGGAAATGGCCGCCGTTCTTTTGTATATCTCCACACTTTGTTGTTTACAGTTTTGTGCACCAAAATTTGAATATTTATGGTTTAATTTCGGGCTCCTGTTTTGTACTCTTTATTTTATTTGATTTTTTTTTTGTTTTTTTTTGTACCTTTATCATTTAAACGTTTATTTTTGCGAACAGGAAACAGCTCCGGCCCCTCTGGCCCCTCTGTGTGTTCTGTGGGAATTACTGTATTTTCCTCAAGGTCTTTTTTCCATTGAATAAAATCTTAAGTAATTTAATCTGTGACTCTTCATTTCTAAATAATTCAGACTCTGTTGGTTTATTCATGGCCTGTTTGGGGACTTCTCTTGGTTTTCTAAAGGTTTAATCCTGGTTTAGTCCTGGGGTAGACCTGCTTTAGACCTCATTTAGTCCTGGTTTTAGTTCTAGTTCTGGTTCTAGTTCTGTTTTAAGTCCTGGTTTAGTGCTGATTTTAGAGCTGGTTAACCCTGAGTTAGACCTGTGTTAAACCTGGTTTAGTCCTGGGAGAGATCTACTTTTAAACCAGGACTAAAACCAGGACTAGATCTAATTTACTCCTGGTTTTAGTCCTGGTTTAGTCCTGGTATAGTGCTGGTTTAGATCTACTTTAGTCCTGGTTTTGGTTCTTGTTTTAGTCCTGGTTTAATCCTGGGTTAGAACTACTTTAGTCCTAGTTTAGTGCTGAGTTAGACCAGTTTTTTTTTCTCTCTCTCAGTTAGACCCACTGTAGTCCTGGTTTAGTCCTGGTTTTGTCCTGATTTAGGCCTAAGTTAGTCCTAAATTTAGACCTGGTTAATTCTAAGTTAGACTTGGGTTAAACCTGGTTTAGTCCTGATTTGGATCTACTTTATTCCTATTTTTGTTCATGGTTTTAGTTTGGGTTTAGACCTACAGTAGTCCTGGTCTGGGTTAAACCTGGTTTAGTCCTGGTTTAAATCTTCTTT